TTGGGTTTAATTAACACTTTCCTACTTTATGTCATTACCTCTATAAAATATCACTTATAGTATAACCATGTGGTGCGGGTACCTTGCCGACATCAACATAGGAAATTGTCAGATTCATAATCCACATTTGGACACTCTTTACCTCTTTCCTTCAACTAGCTCATCCTCTCTATGTGCTGATTTACTTGTTTCCAGTTCCAGTTTCCAAAGGCGGTTTATGGACAAAGCTTTACCTTTTTAACTGCATTTTTACATAATGTATTCAACCATGACAAAACAGAAGAAATAAGCAGTTGATATCAAAGTCACTGTAATAAGAACGCAGCTAAATGCATCTAGGATTGATGGTATGACAGGTGTTTGCCTGTTGTCATATTAATGCAACACTCTTTCTGGCTCGAGCTTTCCAGATGCACTACAGTCAGAAACTGTCAGACTGTCAGAACAAGTGACAGAAACATTTGACACTGTAAGAGCTCAAAGAAATACTGATACATCTCAGCTCTGTGGGAGCTGACCAAAATTCAGACAGTCCAAAAATCAGACTGAGAGCGAGTGAGCTATTTGGCTTACGGCTTTTGCTGTCTCACACCGGGATCCCTCATCTGCAAAAAAAAAAAAAAAAGCTATCAGAAGCTGGAATGGTGCCAAGTAAGCTCATCCAAAAAAGCCAAAAAAAGACATTCAATTAAAATGACCTGCATATAGGCAGTGCTGGTTCACATCCGTAAAAGTAAAAGCTGCTGAGTTACATCACTGTTGTTGTTAGTTCAGTAAGATCCTACAGATTGTATCAAGCCACTATTAAGTAGTGCCATGGTTTTAAAAAGCTTAGGAAATACTGCCCTAGAGAACACAACAACCCATTTACACTTGTGTACTGTAGTCTAGTCTATAGAGGCTACAGGAATTTGGCAGCCATATTGGAACAAGAGAAACGCACAGACAATTAACAAAACTGAGTGAAAAATGTAAGGCGCATTATGAAAATAGCTACTATTTAACAGTGTTGAAGTGTCTTATGGTTGTTAGAGTTATCCTTGTACCACATATACATATATACATACATCAACATACTGGAAACAATTAACATTCTCAAAATAAATGTTAGAACCCATGTTTAGGTGTCACATCTTGCCGTTCGTCAAGTCAAAACCTAAAAAAAAATAACTTTTGAAGTAATAAAATGGCTTTAACCCAGCAAATCATATTGTAAACAAATTCCTCAGTGCAACATCATTTTACCCGTGTGCCCTTTTCTTACTATAGATTAATATTTCAACATGCACCTGGCCCATTTTCTTGCTTTTATGCAGTAAGAGTTTCCAACTATTTTAAAACCACTGAGATATTTCAGTATATGACTCATTTGAGACGTCACGTCTCCATAGAGCCCCCAGCCACAGTGACTTAGCATTTAATTGATTATCTACAGACTGAATGTTTTCTCTTCCTGGGAGCTTTGATGTCTAAATTGATAAGTTATGGATCTAAAGGAATGCACTGCATATTTCATCTGTGTGAGAAAATGAGGGCTGTGATTGCTGACTGCTTTTTTAATTCAGTGAAATGCTGTGGGGAGCATCTGGATACAGATGTGAGATTAAAGACAAATACTGTCGGTAACTGATGATATATTTAAGATTCACTTTGAGTCAAATGAGGGCTCCTCTTTGTGAGCGTGCTAATGCTCAAACAGCCAAGGTCATATAAACGGAAAGTGAAATGTAAGAGGCCAGACAATAATCCCTCTTTGTTCAATGACAAACACACAAATTGCAGCACTGCCGTACTTTTTTACCTCAGCCTCGTCCTTGGCTTCCTCCACCGTTTCCACATCAGAGGATTGAAAGCCTCACTGCTTTTCTCTCCCTGGCACCTTTCACAAAGCTGTTACCAAAGCAGCCTTATAGAAAGAAGACGACAATGTGCTGTAGAGGAGTATTGATTTGCAATCAGACCTATGAGCCTGTCCAGTTGTACAGAGGGGGGGGGGCATGAGTTTCAGTCTCTCATTTCTCAGCTAGGGGTTATTATCTACATGACCTGAAATAAAGTGTACACACGCTGTTCATGACTTACCCCTCCAACACATGAGAGTTCTCTTCATCTGCCACACACACATACAATATCTGCATTCAATAACACAGAGACATAATTGGAAAGTGCTATTTGGAGCATGACTGAGTTTGGTTTGCAAATTGAAATGATTGAAATGAAAAGGACAGATTTCACCTTGATGCACAAGGAGGCTAATTGACTGTTGTGTCAGTGGTTCATTTCATCTGGAAGCATATTATATAAATCCACTTACGTTGGTTATTATTTGTTTTAGTTTTTATATACACATACAAATAGATACAGAGCTATGAAGGGGATATTGCTTTATAAAGCACTGAGCTGAGACCCAACAGAATCCTTTTACTGTATATGTGATGGGGGAGAACACACCTTTAAAGGAATAAAATGTCTTAATAGAATCGACATTTTGAGAAATACTCCTATTTGCTTTCTTGCCGAGAGTTAGATGAGAAGATTGATACCTCTCTCATGTGGTTTTGTTCAATATCAAGCTAGCAACCAATTAGCTTAGCTTGGCATAGCAAACTCAGAAGGTTAAGCTCTGTCTGAGGGTTATAAAATCCTTTTACTGGCAGATCTAAAGCTCATTAATTAACATGGCATATGTTGTTTGTGTAGAGGTTCTGGTAAAAGTGTATTTTTTTTAGCTGTTTCCCCCTGTTTCCTGTCTTTATGCTAAGCTAAGTTAACTGTCTCTTGGCTGTATCTGCAAACAAAGCGAATGAGCGTATTATGCCAAACTCTTGCTTTAACAGTTAAATAAGTGACATCACCAATTTCAACACAACAAATATTTTAACTTACCCATAGTGCCACTATGTCTATAATTTTAATAAGGATTACTTTCTGCCAAAGAAATAAAAAAAATGTTAACAACATTTCTGGAAAAACACAATACTGTTGAATGTGCAACTTTGCAATGCTTTTGGCATTACAAACAAAATTCCATTCACCTATATAGTTTTCTGACAGAGTCGATATTCTCAGAGACAGATATCTCAAAATCTGGGCAAATAAAACCAAAACTATCCGCACGAACAGATACCATTAGAGTTATATGAGAATGTGTTGCTCTGTAATTTGGGTGAACCAACCCTTTAACAAATGGGGCAGCAAGAGACTCGATGTTTCAATTACATAATCCAAAACATCCATTACTTTATGAGTCATGTCTCCTAATCCAGATGTTGTTTCCTAAGTCCCATTTCCTGTTTTCTCTCATCTCTCATCCTGCTGCCAAACAGCTTTGTTGCCTACCCTCACACACAGACACAAACACATTTTTACAAGTATTTATGTGTCACAAATTACCTGTCTTCTCATATCTGGTCAGAGCAGACAGTTTGCATTGGAAAAAAGGTTTTTTCCCTTATTTACAAGGCCAACAGCTGTTAGAGCATCATCCTCAGACACATTGACAGCAGCTCAAAGCAGAGCCACTGATGAATGACACTTCCCATAGGGAGGCAGAGGAGGCGAATACTCAGAGTGGCTCTGCATTGCAATTTTTGTACAGTTAACTCCCTGAGATGTATTAAAAAGTTACTGTAAACTTGAAAGTGAGGAGTGAATAACAGGGATTTGGAGGATGAAATAACTCTGCCTAGCTGTGATTTACTGTCTCTTTGCATGGCCATAATGTGGTTTGTGAGAGGTTAATGTAAATTTGTAACCTTGGTAACATGATTTCGGCATACCTTACAAGAAGTCATCTTGTGTTTTGTTTGATGTCTGTCCAGTAAAATGGCTGACTCTTAGACTTGGGTCCATTTTGGATCGACTTAAAATAAAAGCAATGTTTTGCTGCTTTAAGGCCATTTTTCACTCTTCTCTTCCTTTGTCTCCTGACTAAACATCCCCCCCTTCAGTTCACATCATTAGCCCGCAGCTGTCTAGCCAGTGGTCTCGCTGAATCTCTAGGGAGAAGTTTGCAAAAGGTTCCTACACAAAGTCGAACATATCTCACAAAAATAAGAGGGCGAGGGGTGATTGGGAGCTGGAGATGAAGATGAATAACCATCTTTTATTCTCCCCACTCAAACTGTGACTCAGTGGGAAATGGTCAGAAACATTACTGATTCTTCTACAATCTCTTTCAAGTTTGTCAAGCAAGAAGCAACATCTTTCACAGATACGCTAGAGGACAGGAAAGTGGTATATACAGGCCTGTCTTGGACCGGAAATTTAACTTTAATTTCCACAATTTTCACAGCGGTGTGTGTTTCCAATCCTAGCAGGAGACAATTCCTCTGTGACCCGGAGCCTGAGGCTCGAAGACTTGATTCTCGTCTCTCTCACTCCCACTCACTCTTTCCATCTTGTAATACACCTTGAGACAGGGTTCCTATTCATCTACAACTTCCCCCCGTCAGGAGATGCATTCTTTATGGTGTGCTAGGTTTTAAAGGCCATATAAACGCCTTTAATAAAGGTATATTAACTGCCCCTCACTAAGTTTCATTCTGTTTTTCAGCTTTTTTTTCCCTTTCCCAATTGATCATGAGTAGTTTCCCTAAAGGATAATACATCATAATTCTTATCCATTGTGGTTTTATCTCCTTTTGCCAGTGTTCAGTCAACAGTTGTCTGCAAGCTGAAAGATGGATTGACAGTGTTGATAGCTGCTGTATAAAGTCTACAGTAATTACTGTAATTCTAAAAGGCTTCCTGAAGTGTTTGGATCAGTGCAGAACTATATAAACAGCACAAGGAAAGAGATTCTTCTACACTGAGCCAGGAGACAAATTCACTGCATAATGCAGCAGTTCTTCAAGACATTACAAGAACCAAACCACCAATTTTTCATTATGTTATGTATAGAGGTTTGACAACGCGAGTCTCCTCTCTCTCCACTCCCTCTGTGCTCTCTCTTATTTACGCACACACACTTTGGCAGGAGCTACAGTGCAGGCATAAGTGGAAAATGTCCTTCATACTCCTCTTTGGTTAGGGTTAGTGGAGTAGGGGGAGAGTTTTAAAAGGGAGGCCCCTCAAGATGTCTGACATGTTTCTGCAGGACCGCAGGCCACTGACTGGCGCATAGCACAGGCTTGTGGTGGGCTGTTTGTCTGCGTGAAGCTGGCATGGCCTCCCGTTCCTCTGCATCTGTTCTCCATTAGCCGAGAGTATAAAGCAGGGAGCTGACAGGGGCTGGGAGCACTCGAGTTCCTGCCTGGATCATGGGGTTTACTATCTGGCTGTGTGTGCTCTGCCTGCAGGCGAGCCTGCTGTCACACGCCCTCGACTGCTCAGGAGCAACACAGGGAGAGCTGTGTGTCAGCGGACAGACCGCAGACGGACAGGTAAGAGACGGACTTCTAATGGATGTGATAGTTAGGGAAGGACAGTGGGAACCAAGGTGTTCATTTGCTATCAGTCATCATCTGTGCTGTTGTGACACTACAGGGGTAAGTGCAGCCTGTTTGAGTCTGTTTAAATGCTGTTTGCTGGACCAAACTACATAATAACTAACCCTCCTCTCAAATGAAAGTGAATACAATCTGAATTATCAGCATTTTCTCCAAAAAGGACGCTACAGAACAAGTTATGTAACGTGAGCTGGTAGTGAAAAAAGTTGGTTTGATTTTACTTCAAAGAGAATGGTATGTTTAAATTGTTTTAAATTACAATGAATTTAAATAATAGTTTTCTTCCTCTTTTGTACAAGCCACAGCTCAGTTGGTTCAAATCTTAAAAAATCTGTCTCTAACTCATCTGCTTTGTTTAACCAACATTTCCTCCATGTGATTGGCATACATTTAATGAAGGGGATCATTTAGTATTATAATTATCAATCAGAATAATTCATGAAAAGCTAGTTTTTAAGAGTTTGTACTTTTAGTTTAGGTGGAAATGACCAGCAGTAACATGATTTAGTTTGTTTTGCTCGGACACAGAATGATCAATGTTAGTAGCTCAAGTCTGAGGAAGCCAGTAACTCTTTTGGAATGCAAGTTCACTCTGACTCCTTCGAAAGAGGCTACTGTGACGATAATAGTGGTCAAGTGAGTTTCAGGGCGGCAGGAGACGTGTACAGTCTAACCCTGACCTGTGGAGACGTGTAATTTTTTTTCTCTAACAGAAACAAAGTCTCATTGTAATGGTTTTTACAGTCATAATGCCACCACACCAAAAATACACCCCTCTGTGGAACAAAATCTTTCAGCTCCCTTTTTGGCTTTTCATGTGGCCAGAGGCTGTTATACTTTAAACTTGTGGTCAGCATTTTTCTGTGGACAGTCCTCATGTTCTGTCCAAAGTAATCAACCCTCATCTGGACAACGGATTTGACAGCTGCAGGAGGAGAGAGGAGCATTTTCACCCACACATGAAAGTGTTTTCATTGGGAATTCCGCTCCATCTGAGGGAGTTTGTGCCACATATGTGCTTTTCTGCTGCCGATTTTTGTATAATTACAGCATGCAAAATGTTAAGCTTCAAATGTGGTGGGGACTAACTAATACCCGATGCAGCATCCTTTCAGAGGCTACATTTGGTTCAGTTTACTTATGTTTTGCCTTTTCCCACAAAGGTCACTTGTGTTTATAATGGAGTGGAATACACTGAATGAGTAATTGTGGCAGGTTTTGATGGAGGCTGAATTTAGCTTAATATCTTACACATGCATACTCACACGCACACACATACAAAACAACCACAAGATCACAGCAGTAGCTGCCATGTTTGATGACTTGGGTGCTGGAGAATTATTTGTTTTCTCACGTAGGAATTGTAATATTTTGTTAGAAAGGACATCTGTCTGGGTCAGAGGACTATTTTCCTACTTAACCAATGTGAGGGACTGAATGGTCACATATTCATAAATAATTAACAATGCACAGTGTGCACTAGCAGTAGCTAATGTATGGAAACAACATATTGAATAGTGTTTCAGTGTAAGAATATTCATTTCTTTGTGTTAATTTAAATCCACATTTGTATTGAAGATAAAAAATGGCATCAGTGTTGTGTGTCACTCTCTCCTCTTCCTCTCCTCAGTATGATGATCAGAAGCAGCAGAGGGCGCTACCCTTAACTGAAGGACTGGTATGTACCACTGTTTATCCTACTCAAAGTTGTAGAATCAGTCTGAATCCTAGTTCCTCTGAGAGGGGGCTCCAGTTTAGAGCAGGTTTAACTCTGAGGGAGTCTGGTCCATGATCCTAGGAACACCACAGCAGACATAAGATAAAAAAGACATGGCAGTAAAAAGAGGAGGTAGAGACAAACAAGAGAGGGAAATTAAGTAGTGTGGAAAGGGGAGGCAGGTTACGATGGGTTGTTAAGTTCTTATATAGCACAAAACAGTTATGTTAATTCATACAAAGTGCATAATAAAGATAACTATATTACTGGTGATATAATGTAATGGTGACAAAGCAGTGAAACCACAGAAGCATTACAGTGTAATTTTTGTTTTGACAGACACAAGTGAAGTTCCTCACACACACCAGCAATAACATATGCATATTATAAATATCCTTCAGCTCCACACTGTAGAGCTGTTGTGCCACAGTGAATTCTAAGATATTCCACAAAACTCTCCCCACAACGAAAACTAAAACAATCAAAATGTAGGTCAACAGCAATCACTGTAAGCACTTTAAATGGCATCGCAAGTGATTGCAAGGCAAATACTTTGTAGCTAATGAACTCATCTTTGTTTTCAACAGAATGGGGAAATAGAAAGAGTAGGAAGCTAATGTCCAATACTGGAAACAGTCTTTTCATTTCCACACTTATATAACCTGGGGGGGGCCCAGTCAAGGCCCTGCAGTACCGTTATAAATGTATCACAAAGTCCTAATTGGCAAACTGAAACTTGTTGTTCCTCAAAGTGACAGTCCATTTATTAGGAAAACGAGTGGATCAATAGCAGTGCTTCGTTTATGTGCAGATCAATGAGAAATACAGGAAATGGCGGGGGCAACTGACAATAATAATTTTGCAGTTTCCTCCCCTTAATGCTGGAGTGTGACTGCCAATAAAAAAAGGGAGAGTGAATGTGAGGACAGAGACAGTACAAAGCAGGACAGGACATAAGACTCATGCACTTTCCCACACAGATAGAGACGTGCAGGAGTTGTTGTTTCACTTTGTGGTTGTGGATGCGGTTGTGACTGTCTCACTCTTGTAGGTTTCGTTCAGACGTAAGAGACAGTTGGAGCACAGGGGTCACACCCACCTCAGCCACTCCAGCCTGCCTGGGGCCGTCTCTGTCAAAGGCTTCCCTAATACTCTCATCCAGGTAAACCACTACTTGTTAGTCACACAGGAGTCAGAGTGAGCAAAAGCCAAATGTGGGGGAGGCGGGGACTGGTTTACAGCAGCGGCTGCTGCTGCCACAGGTCTAGTGAAGTTTTAGTCATACTGTATCATCTGTACATGCTGAAATGACCCACAGAAAACACACTATTTATTCTTGATAATAAAATATAACTTGATTTAAGTACCATAAACACATCTATGTTTTCCAAATTTAGTTCAGAGGATTTAAAGAGAGCACACCTGTGTACAGTATGCATCATATACTAATCCCTGTGTATTTGGTTTCTTAGGCTGATAGGTCCAGGCGACACTTGATTCAAGCTGCGAATATGAAAAAGAACAAGCGTAAACCCTATGCCGGCTCCTTCTCCCTCCTTAGCAACGACAAGAAATCCAACCCCCTACAGGTGAGTCTCCATGGCAACCCCCTGAGCAGAGGAAACAGCTGGGGCAAAGAGGCCGGATGTGCAGGCAGAGTTATAAGGCCACCTTACTTGGTTTTATTGGATCAGTTTGGTCTACTCACCAGTATAATCTGTTCGTTGAAATGGCAATCATTCAGACAGTGTCCTTTCAGTTTTGCAGTGGAAAATGTTCATCGTAATCCTTTTCCGGATGCTGAAATAAGTTGATGTCCTCACAGAAAATGTCAATTGTTAAGAAACAGCACTCTTTTGCTTCCAGGTGACTAGAGCAAGGAGACAGGTGAAGCTTGAGCCACCCAAGAGGGGGAACTCAGGTCGCTCTGGGGCTTTCTCTGTCCTGGTGAGTCACCGTGTAGTATTTATACTCCTAAACACAAATGTACTACTTCTGATGAATATTTACATGTTGTGTTCTGTGCGCTCCAGGGAGATCCACAGAATGATGGACAGAACGACAGACCCAAAAGAAGCATACAGAAGATGATTGCTTCAAAATAAAATGTTCTTTCTTATTATGGTAATACCTTACAAAAGATGTGCAAAAGATGACACATTTTTTATTTTACCAAAAAAATCATGTATACAAACTGAAGATTGGTGTGAAATTCTGACATGTGTTTATTCTGTTTGAGTAATTAAGTAATGTCCACCAATGCTGTTTCAATAGTAAGCTAGCTTACTTTCATCAGCCAGTCTGCACTTACAGATACGTTTTATATACTATTTTAAGTTTCTAATATATTCCTGCATGTTATAAAATCACAGAAATCCCATATTATTATTCTAGTTTGCCATTTTGTTGTAACCTATTTAATCACAGATTCCTTATGAAGATTGGGGGTATATTTTTGCAGAAATATTTCTTGTGTTGTTGTATCAGATTTCAATAAAAGTTTAGTGGAGACATATGGTGTAAAAGTCTTTAAACATTAAGCACTTTATGCTTCACTGGAGCCTTCTCTATAAAATTGGATAATAGTTTTACACTCCAGCTCCATTAAGAAACAGTATAACAGTTTTTTGTAGCAGCTCAGTCTTTCCCTCTCTTATTCCAACAATAACACAATTTTTCCCACACAAGGGTCTGAGGAACTGCCTACAACTGATTCATGAAATTAAGTATCATGGGGTTGAAACACCCCAATTACAGATGGCAAGTGTTACAGGTATTGAGCATGGTTGGCAGAAATGGCAGCAGGATAAACCAGCATGAAGCTCTTTTCCTATGAAAGGCCCTAATCCATTTACATTACAGCAGCCGAGGGCAAATAGCCTGTGTGTGTGAGAGAGAAAAAAAATCTAAATGTAGACCAGACCATCTGTTTAAGGAGTCAAACTTTGTCTATTTAAATATCTTGTGTCATTTTTAATTCATTTGGCCAGGAATGGAAACACAGTACGGTCTGCAGCAGAAGATTTGAGTGTTTCTGACGTAAATGTGTGCACAAAATCTGATCTTTGCTCTCTCTGCTCTGCATCTGGGTCTCTTACTATTTACAGCATAGCAGATTAAACAAATTGCCTGTTTCACAGCCCTGAGAAAAACAGTACTGTATTGTGATGAGTGCATATTGGAGTAAAAATAAAAGCATAAAAAATTATATCTTAAATTGTACTCAGGCCCGCCCAAAGTGATGCCTCCAGAAAATCCACAGTATGAGGCAATCTGATGAGGAAAATGAGTCTGTGTAAAAGTGTAAGACAATCTAAGTGAATAGGATGACTCATCCTCCCCTCATTTACTGATCAAAGCCCTTAACTCATGACGTAGGTATGCAGTACTCACAGTCTCATTATTATGGTTTTATAGACACAAACAGAGAGACAGGGGGGAAAAAAATAGAACAACAAAATGTTATTTATAATCTCGACATTTTCCCTGAAGCACATAATTGATGATGAATATGCTTCAGCAGCTCGCTCTGGGAGAAAATAGACAAGTGTAAGGTCCTGAGCTGTTGACACAGTCATCAGATAACCTGGATTAGCTGGTTGTGAACTGTCTTGGTGTTGTCTTGGTGACAAACCACCACAGGATGCCGTTGTGATTTCTCCGAAACAGCAATGCTCTGATAAAGACCGAGATCTTATTATTCCTATTTAGAAGCAACAAGAGAGACACAGCCTCAGCTCACTCCCCTGTCAGCATCTCACACATACACACTGCTGTGACGGCTGCCAGCAGGGTATCACTGATTGACTGTACCCTTGGGCTCATGCATCCTGGGAACCTCCCGGTTGATGACCTGATGGAACGGGACAAAAGTGCACACACACACACACACACACACACACACACACACACACACACACACACACACACACACACACACACACACACACACACACACACACACACACACACACACACACACACAGAGAGATCCATCCTAAAAAAAGCCACATTACTGTCCACAGACACGTTATAAATAGAAGTCAGCTGTATGAACCCATTTCCTCCGGTGATGTAAATGTTAAATTAAAGTTCAGACTTCAAGCAGACTTCCGAGCATGTGTCACTGTGTGTGGTCAACACAAAGGGAATCCTTGTAGCATTTTTTTTTTCAGTCATTGTGGTTGTGTAATGGTGTGTGGCATTGTTTCCGCTCTGGTTTTGGTTCAGTCATCCCCTTGAGAACAAAGCTGATGATAATCACTACGAACAAAATCATTTGGAGGCCTTCAATCTATAGGATTGTGGTAGGAAATGGCGCAAGCAGAGTGATATGTCAGAATTTCCCATAAAAGCTCAGTCAGGTTCATATGTAGTTAGTGGCTTACGGTCAACATCCTTTTGAAGCAGAGGAAACCACGGCGTAAGTATTAGTTTCTGTTGACAGGAGCATCTCATCCCAATTAACATGCGATGTGGGAAAAGAGAGTCACAAACAAGTTGTATGTTAGCAGTGGGTAGCAAGTTTGTCTTTAAGAAAGATAGGATGAATCAGGAACTACACTATTTTAGCAGAGCCACCCACTGTTGAAAAATGTTATACTGTGTTTTGTCTTTTATTTCATTTGTATTGGTGATGAATTGGACTCTTGATTGCTGAAATCCGGGGACGTGGTGACATAGCTGAACAACAGGGCAAGGAATACGAGCAGTCAGATGATCAAATAGGTTTTAAACAAACCCCTAGTGAAACTTCGTCTGGATCCAGATTTCTACATCACCGGCCACACCTCTGATTTATTCAGATCGCTCCGCTGTCGTGCCTTTCTAGAGAAACAATTAATCAGTCACAGTTAAGTATAGGTGGTAATCAGAATGGGGTCATAAGCCTCTTACAAGTAGCTAGCCACCTAATACAATAATAAAAAATAGCAACAGAGAAATGACGACAACTGTGGAAGTGCAGAATTCTTAAACAAATAGTAACCACTTGGGGAAATTTGCTTCTTCCCGTAACTTAAACTATCACAAAGGCTGGAAAGAGGACAGAGCAAACAGTCCATCTCTGTTCACAGGTAACAAAACCTGCAACTCTAAAGCTCAACATATCTTGTTTGTTTCAATTGAACGAATGGCAAATCATCATTTTAGGAGGGGTTATGAGACAGACTGGTCAGGATCATTTCAAACAACCAGTAGAGACTGCGGGAAGTTACTGGTCTCAAAGTAACTCAGAAACCACCACAGCAGCTTGTCGTGTCGACAGAAAAGGATGTCAGCAGGACTGATATATCATTCACACTCACTACTTTTTTGAAAGAGAAAATGAATGAAATGGCAAAACAATGACCAAGAATTACTGCTAAAGTCATCGTCTGACCTCTTAGATCATTGTTGACTCTCTTTACTTACTCATGGTTTTCCTGCGCAACGAGGGCAATTAACAACATTTCGTGCTTGCTCACTTGGGGTTTTACCTCCCAATAAGTGGCTTGTTTACAACCTGACTGTCCGACCTGGTTTTTGTAGCAAAGTTGCTTTGTTCTCAGATTAGATTGTTACCATAACTGACATAAATAATGGCCAATCAACCACCCTCCCCCAATAAAGAATGGTCTTTTAACTTCATTGTGCCAGGCTGTAAAAGTAAAGGCAGTATTTTAGCAACTGCAAATTTTCTGTAAATTGTGATTTCTTTCTAACTGACAGTCAAGACAAGGTATTCCCTACTCAGTATTCCTTGAGTGGTTCTCCTCGTCTATTCTCTGTTCCCGCTGACCTCAGACTGTGACCATGCTTTCAGGCTGAATTTGGCTCCTTCTCTTCATCTCCTGCCACTTCCCATCAGATCAGATACAGGGCGTTGGCTGTCTTCCCTCACCTCGTGTCACTCCTCTCTGGCCTGACATCACCTCCCCCAAACAGCCTCCCTAACTCTGCCTGTCAAAACTTCCTCTAACTGCTGTCACAGGGGCACAGCCCTGTCACATCACTCTGGCCCTAATGAAGAAAAGGCAGAGAAAGAGAAAGAGAAGAGATGTATGTGTGATATGTGTAAGTCTTCAGTAACAGTGTTGTGATGTCAGCTCAATATATCAGCCTGCTGACCTTTCAGCATGTATGGCAGCGGGAGGGTTATTTATGGGCTGATGCAGAATTCATTGACTTTTCCAGGCTCTGTCAGCTTCTTATTATAAACAAAGCCTTTGTCTGCACATCCAGAGGCAGTCCGCCATCTGCAATCCCTTCAGTCTGTCTCTAAAAACAAATGTCTACAAAAAGTCTCCGACACAGCTGCAAACAAATTTAGATACAACTTTGTAGCCTTTAAAAACATCTATAAGCTACAACATACCTACAATACAGGGTACCTTAGGCTGCACATTACAAGTATAGCACTATGATGTTGATATTGGTTTCCATGGGATAAAAATTACCCATTATCATAAAATGACTCAATGTTGGTTTAAAGGAATGATTTAAACTATTTTTTGGGGGAGGAAACACTTTCTGTGTTAGACGAGAAGACTGTTGCCATGTCTGTATGCTGAATATGAAGGTAGAACTATGAGACGATTATCTTATCTTAGCATAACGACTGGAAGCAGGGGGAAGGTAAAGTCTCTGCTGGTTGCCTGGCAACCTCATGGCCACGACAAGAATCTTTGACAGATAACTGCCCATAAAACCGCAAATTGTGTTATTTATTCCTTGTTTTTTTAAATATAGTATTAAGCATACTATAATATATGTAATATCAATCTTCTCATGTAACTATTTCCCCCACATGTCAAACTGTTCCATTAGTGAATATAGAATTAGCTGATATGGATTGGGCTGGGGTTTCTGGGGCCCCAAGGCAGTTGCCCACTTTGCCTGGTTGGAAATCCAACACTGGCTATGATCGAGATTACTAATTAGGAAGGAATCGAGAAAAACAGTGCACCACCATACATTTTTGAGTTCATTTAATGTGTTTAAAATCCAATAGGAGCAAAGAAATCACGTGCCAGGAGCAATATGCTGGATGCTGATCTTGACAGCCCGGGCATCAGGAGTCCATAACTTTCACTGTTAGTAATTCACAGGCAATGAATGCCTTTCAGTCTAGAGCGAATATTGCCTGGGAAATCTGAAAATAGACGTAAAAGCTCAACACTGAGATGAGCTGAAAGAAAAATGCAGGATTTTGTCAATTCCGTCTCTGGGCAATTTATCTGCGTAGCTCTCCATGAAGATGATGGATGCCTGCTGAGTCACTGCCATGGGCCAATCTCTGCCCTGCTCAGTACATTAAAGCAGGAAATACTGCTGAGTTTGACCCGCTGCCCACTATACAGGTCCATGGAAAGCTGATTTATTAAGAAGGGAATACTCTCAGACAGGGCGAATCAATTTCATAGATATAGATTAGAATAGGTTGGCAGAGAGAATTGATGATGAATTGAGAAAACAGCATTTCTGAAAAATATATCTTGAGGAACAAGGAGCCAACGCGTCATATATATGGTAGGGAATTGGGTCACAATTCTAAGCCTGGTGTAATTCAGTTGCATAAACGGGACAAAGAATTCAGAGTGAGAAATAGGCATAGAGGGCATAGAGATATAAGGATGTGGGGCAGGTTTGGTTTAGTCTGAGCCAAGTGGGCTGAAACGTGAGTTTTCTCCATCTCAGTCTCCTTTCTCTTTGGTATGACACGAAGGTCGTCGCGCGCTGTGAAGTGAACAGGGCTGTCAGTGGAGAGAGGAGCTGAGAGGACAGCACAGGGAGTCGGGCAGGCAGGGGAGGAATTCAAATCAGCCTGAGGTATTTAAGAGGGTGCCACAAAGTTGAAAACTTCTTATAAAGGCTGTGAAATACAACCTTCTCCTCAGACCTGAGTAATCAGTCGGGAGGCAGGGATGGGCAGGCTGGAAAAGGTAATATGGGCTTAGAGTGTTGGCTGAAAATAGCCTCCAGTCACCACCTCATTGACTTTGTAACCATTTATGAAAATTACAAAGGCTCTAAACTGGCACAATTATGTGCTGTAGATGAAAACAAGGGTGGAAAGGAACATTACATTCCTCAGTTACATTCCTCAAGGGCAGCGGATTAATGGAATCTCTGGGCCAGGAAATATTATGAATAAGTACCAAAGAGCAGCATAACACATTAGGTCATTGTCTCTACTTATACTTAAACCACTTCAGGGACCGTTGGTGAAGAATAAGGAGAAAAGTACTTTTAGCTTGTGGTCGGAAAAGAAACCTACTTCCACTTTCCAAGCCAGACTCGCATGAAGAAGTCATTTTAAGAGACCAAAACAGCACAAAATGACTTCTCATGACTGGGAGTGATTAAGTCTTGCAAGGTAGCACAGACTGCTGATAGAGATCATCAATGCCTTTTCATTCCTTATCTCTCTCTCAGTCTGTAACTGCCTCACATCTATATCGCGTCCTTATCGCTCTATTATCTTGTCAAAAGCTTTGCACAGTGAGTGCATCAAAATAAATGTCAGTTGGCATCACTGATGTATGATAAAGAACAAAATACCAAATGTTCTGTGGAGGGAAAGACATAAAGAGGTGTGAAATTGACAGTGAAGGAAAAAACATGGCTATTGTGCCCACTCAAAAAACTCCCCGAAGTTCAACTCCAAGTCCATGGGGTCTTCCGGGTGCCAGACGGGGCAGAAACATATTAATATTTCAATTGAGGTTAAATCTCTCTGAGAACATTATGGAGGGAGAGAGAGAGAGAGAGAGAGGGGGGAGGCTTGTTGGCCCTGCAGTGTGGTCTCACATTGAATTTTGAAGTCATAAATGGATGTTTCAAAACCGCAGAGCGGGTGGCGCTTTAGAGGTCCTGAGAGGACAATAAATCATTTGGTCACACGTACTGTAACTACGTCGGGGCCTCTCCGGATCAAAGAGCTCTCTCAGCATCTCTGTACCACGTACTCTATAACTATCAACTATGAAGTGTAAGAGAAAGAAAAACAACTTCTGTGTGAGAGAAGTTATATCTATATATTGCATCATCTATTTGTAATGCCACTGAGATGTCTGTGAACAGGCTATCTGACAGTTCAGCTTTACTTAAATTCCATCACCCTGGTGTCATAAAAAAAAAGTACAACAACCAGATAAACTCCTCCAAAACGAAATACATCTGAAAGACTGTACTGCATTCCTGTGCACTGTGCCTGACCATCTGGGTGGATATTATACCCCAAAATGTTGATCTTTCCACAATTGTGTGTGATTTCAGTGAACATAGCTGAAGAAATCGGGGCACCCAAGAGGATGGGTGCCCATATGGTAGACACACGATAAAGTACAATCCGCGGTGATGGTAAAGTGATGTAATAGAGTGGCCTCTATACTAGGGTACCCTTCCAGTGGAGAAAATGTGATAATATGCACTAATGGGTGCCCTTAAAATGGATTTTTTTTTAACGCACTGTAGTGTAATAGGCTGCCCTCCGTGCTAGAAAAGGGAACAGCTTCACAATAAATGGATCACGGCTTTCTGCGTGCTGGTGCACCACCGTTTGTAGTTGGTGCCATTTTAATTTTTTTGCCCATGCCCTTCAGACAGCCTTAGTCTGGCACTGCTAGTGGCTTATTTCCATTTAAACCCCATGCTGACAAGCGGTACCGTTGCTGTGGTTGTTAAAGATTAAAAAGAGGGCTCTTATGAGCAGGAATGACACTGGTACTTCACTGGTTTATCTCTGAGTGCAGCTCAGCAGATTCCTCTTCCCTGCTGTTTCAAATTCTTGTTCTCTGGGCTAACTTGGGGCTGCAGTTAGTTGATATTCACTCTGGGGTAGTGTAACCAAAGCTTGCAAGAGATTGCCCTCTTGTGGTTATATTCTACAATGCTACATGTCTAAGCTTCAACAACAGAGCAATGACAGATTGATAAATAAGTGCACATTTTCATCTTGAATGCAATCTAGATTAGAAAAACAAACGTTGGCGTGAGATCAACTGAATGTCAGCGCATTCAACTTACTCTGATTGATTATCGTATTATGATTATCACTAGCCCTTTCCCCATCCACTGAAAGTCCAACGTCTACACAGTAAAAATGAACTATCAAGCTGCCACAATCCATATTATTCTTATTTGTGCCAAAGCGATCAGTGTAAATTTAAAACCACACATATAAGAGCAAAAGTGTGAACATATAATTAAGAATTTCAAGGCTTTGCAAAAAAACCTCAGCTTGCTTTGTTATAATTATATAATAATTGTTATAATTATGAATGTATTGTAACAATAGAGGTGTGTGTTAAAAGGAAAGTTGTCCTCCAATAAAAATAATCAATATACAGGACATACAGGCAGGACACTCACAAAAATCCATGTAATACAATGGGTTTGCATACATTTTAAACTACACACAAATATTAATGAGAAGAGTAAATCTAGTGCAGCATTTCCTTCTGAACTGTAGTACACAAAAACCTGGAAGCCTGACAAAAACAGTGCTCAAAACTGTGCTCTACAATGAGGCTTATGAGGAAAGTTATGTGAGACCAAATATTCATTTCAACAAAGGGGGTCTTGATTGGATCCCTTTGACACTCGGCTCTCCTGTCCACACCACTCCTCCTTCTTCACCTGCACCCCCGTTGGGCTGGGCTTGTCCCAAGGCCTTGTCCGCCTCCATAGTCACCAGCATGGTCTGCTTTAAAACTGCTTGGTATTTTTCATTCATCCGCTTCACTGCAGGTTCGTAGCCGCTGCACTGCATTTTAAGCTTTCTGATCTCCTCGATGAGCCTGTTTTTCTCCTGGACAACGCGTTTATGCCGCAGTCGGTGGTAATCTCTGGCTTTCTGGACTCTGCCCAGAGTCTGAGCGGCGGCAGAGACTGCCAGTCTGTACTCTGCCCCCTCCCGCAGCGCGCTTTTCAGCTCGCTGTCCAGACGCTGGTTTTCGGTGTACACGCCCGGTACCACGCCAACCCGTCCTGCATCCACCAGCCCTTTATGCGCCATCTCCGTCCACTCAGTCTGAAAGCAGTCAAGTGTTTCTGTCATGCCCATTTGGGAGAGAAAGTTGCGTAAAAAGTCCTCCACGGCCTCGGGTTGGTGTGTGATGGGAGGTGAGCTGTGAGCAGCAGCGTCAGCAGCAGCACTGGCCTCTGCCCGGTCTTGGATAGCTTTCACCGTTGCCTCCAAATCTTCTTCCCCTTCCGTCAAACTCCAGTCATCCTCAAGAGATACTTCTCCATACTGAAAGTCGTCATCACTTTCAGCACGCAAACTCTCGTCTTTTTCTGGGTTTTTGTCACTTGCGCTCATGGTTTCATTTGACAGCCAGTGGAAGAGGAAGTTTGGTGTTGCTAAGGTAACGGGGTCGTCCGTTTCAACGCGAGATTTCACGAGTTCACGTTTGTCCAGTCCCATCTGTCATCAAACAATCATGGCGGACTACCCAGAGGCGCCCTTGGTCACACGGCCAAAAACACTGGACCCAAAAGAGTATTTCAACATCTCGACGGAGCACCGACGTAACGAAGAGGCCCGGGCAGCACTACGAGCGAATCTTAAGAGGGAATATCAGATACAGCTCAATAACCCGCACAGAAAAGAGCTCATCGTAAGTAGCTTCCTGCTAGCTACGTTAGCAATGTCACCCTTGAAAATGGCTCAGGCTACTTGCTAACTGTAGCATGTGAGGGCACACAAGTCGCACGAACCCAGTTTTACTAAATTATATTAGTATAGAGAGTATAGTGTCACCTATTCGTGTGCGTTTGTTATTGACTAGATAGCATTAATAGTATTTGTACGGGTTTATTTGTAACAAAGGAGAGTGGGTATCGTTAGTTTGCTAACTCTAGAAGAAGGTTGATCATTGGTGTTACAGTGATTCAAAACGCTTTCAGACTTCATTAATGCTTCATTAATTCATTAAATACACGTTTAAGCTGAACTACAGTATATTGTCAACGTTAATCTTATTTCTGTGGTGAGTTAGTCCCACACTGTATGATGTAGGAGGGTTTTTATCTTTTGAATGTAGTCAGGTGCTACAGTGTTTCCAAGAGCTAGAGTAAAGACATCCCAAATGGCTTTGCTACTTTTAAACAAATTAAACATCATGTGAGATTTTTGCTACATACCTGTCTCTTTCAACCCTGCAACTAATCTGACACTTGTCCAGATTGCTCAATCCCCAGCTGCAATGTATCATCTGTCACATGGTCAATATGTCCCATGTAACATCCACATACGACAGACTTTTTCTTTGCATTAAACTCAACTTGCTACACTTAAGTATTTACTTCAATAGTTTTTGTTTCTCTGTATTGTAGTTCTGCTGCTGCTCGTGTCTATACTGTGCACACTGTGGCCTTTTTCACAGCAGGGAGAACACAGCTGTTACTAATAACATTCATAATGGCTCTGCTTTATTTAAGTGTAGCAGGAAGTTGTGACAGTGAGCCGACATGCACGATACCAGGACCCTGAAACTAAAGCAGCTAAACTCAGCCATCACTCATTATTATTTACACCTGTACATTTTCTTTTCCCTCCCTCCCCAGTTGTTTATCCTGAGGTTTCTTCCTTTTATGAATGAAAATAAAGGGATTAGCTTTCTGAGACAAATTTGTTATTTTGGGCTGTACTTTGACTTGATTTCAATCAAATCAATTTGCCTTAGTTGACACAGTGAAAGATCCCAACTGTTTTTTATTATCATGACAACATACTATATCTTTTGTACTCTTGTTGTCTTTGTTGTAGTAATATGTTGTGAATAATTGTTTGACCCTTACGTTACTACAGAGATTCAGTTTATACTGGGTGACCCTTGAAATTGAATTGCATACTTACGTCTTTACAGGAAGACCCTGCCCTGACACACTGGGTGAAAGCACGCGCCAGCCCCTATACGTACTTCAGACCCACGTTCAAGACATCTCTGCTGGGTGCAATGTTTGGAGTTGCGCCTCTCTTTATCCTGTACTTCATCTTCAAGACAGACAGGGTATGAGACAAGATGCACTGACCTCTACTTGCTTGATTATCACAAGTGTTCAATGAATGAAACAACTCACCTGTGACTCCTTAAGCAGCAGGTTTAATAACTACATCATCTTTTTACGTAACTAAAATGTGGCATTGGCATTGTTTAATGTCTGTACCCAGAACCACAGATGCATCAATCATGGGCACACATACTGATCATGTAGAGAACCATTTAGTTACAGTTGCAGCCCGCAGACCTTCTTTAGGCTATATAGAGCAAGACTGACGGACTAGAATCAAAACAGAATAAACACAAGAATATATGCCCACATATGGTTGCAGGATAAAGCTCTTTTGTTCATTGAGTGCCATTGTGCTGCAGGTGTCTGGAGATTTATTTTCAATCCCTGTTGCTGTCTTCTTTTCATTATGTGTATCTCCTGTTGTATTGAAAATACTCAGTCCCAAATTGGTGGTCAAAACTTCAATGATTTAATTGATATAATGCTGTGATAAACACAGTATTGGCATGAAAACACATGGACTAATTTCACCATGTTACAGCACTAATAACAGTTTTATTAGCTAATCTAATACACTAATAATGCCATTTAAAATAATATTTTTGCTTAAGATAATCCTAAAATATGATACTCTGTCCTAAATTGGCACCATAGATATCTGAAAAGCGATTTAGTTTAAGATTGAGCTTCATTAGTACCTTGTATGTAGGTGTGCAGTTGATCTGAATTTCTTTCTTTTTTTGTCACAGTTCCATTCACATTAGAAATGAATGCTTCACTTGAAATGCTGCCTGCTTTCATTTTCCTCCCCCATTGTCATGGAGATTCACCCTCTAAATCCTTGCCAATAGAAATTCCAGCGAGAATCTGGTACAATTGTCACACTGCTGGGCTATCATGTTTGTCTCCCTCTCTCCGCTGGGAGGAAGAAAAAAAACTGCTTGAAAATCATAAAATGCTCACTCATAAAACATGCAGTTGTGGAAAATGCCCAGAAGGTGAAGAGTGTTAGGGTGATACGACTTTGTTGCCATGGAAACTGTATTAACCCATCATCTGTTTGTCATCTGTTTTACAGGATAGAAAGGAGGCGCAGATTGCGGCTGGGACCCTCGAGCGCAAGTTCCAAATGTCATCATGAGCTCCGATGTATAAAGACTTCCCATATGTTGTAGTGATGCCACTGCGTGTAATTATTATTATCCAAATAAAGTGATATTCTCAAAAACAATACTGCGGTTTTGATTGGTGAGACTAAAGTATGAATGGTGGTAAAACACTGTATATTGTAAATGTGTGCACACTCTACATGTCCACAGACCAGGGTATGGACACTGCAAGTATTAGAGCGGCACATTAGGGTTTAAATGAAAATGTTGCTGACAGATCACCAGCTAAAATCCCCTGCCACATAAATGTAAATCTTCACAGCAAAAGTTAGTAAGATACACTTGATTAATGACCACTGAGTAAGCAAGTCACCATTGAAACTCTTGCTAAACTGCAACCACTGAGGCCACAAGTGAGAGTTAATGGTGAAGTTTGTATAACTAGCACAAGTAGAGAAGAATTTCATTTGTTGGATGTAGAATATGGTACGCTGTATGTTGTTAATAAATCTTATTCAGCTTGGCAGGAAATTGAAGTGTCCATTTCATAATATATTTAATGTCCAAACTGTGAAGATAAAGCAGGAGATAAACACAAAATGCATGTACAGAAACAATTTATTGCATGCCTCTATGTGATTTTTATTTCTAACGTGACAAACAGCAAATTGTGGTCACACAAGTTAATTTTAATTGTGCAACTCCAATCTTAGTTGTGTGCATAACATAAATGACTTTATTCCATGTGTGTTTTCATCAACAGACCTGATCAAAGATGCAAATAATGCCAAGTTGCATTGGATTGGATTGATGGTAGTTACATTTAATAAAGTGGACTTTTTAAATTTGTATCTTATATTTGGTTAAATAGTTTTACTACTGTTTGCTGGGCTTCCAGTTGGGATTAAAGTGACTGCGAAGAGATTCCCAGCACTGGTAGTAGTTCTTGTCAAGTCTCTGGCATGTTTGCAGACCCCACTTGGTCACTGCCATACTGAAGGACGACTCGAACATGAAAGCCTGAAGGAAGGAAAAGACATGTCACAGATACAATCACTGATGGCACTGACCTGCTTTGCAACTTTTTATAATGACAAATCTAAATCCTTAATGGTGCCTCTCTATTTTATTTTTTTTTACCATGGTTCCTTCAGCCACCCTCTCAGGTTTGAGCTCAGCAGTGCTGTTCTTCTCAAAGCATTCACCATCCGGGCCGTGTGGGGTCATTATGCTGTGGAGGCTGGCCCCTCCTGGCTGGAAACCCTCCTCTTTGGCTTCATAGTGGCCTTTTATCAGACCCATGAATTCACTCATGCAGTTACCTGAAGCAACAAGCAGGAGGAGATGTAACAGCACTGTACAGGGTGTGAAGAACAAGCTGCAATACTGAGTTCCACTAGATGGCCTTATAGATCTGTGGTGAAAACAGACAAAAGGAGCTGGGGCTTGGAAAGAGTGATACAGCAGGTGGATTGTTATCACCCACTGTCTTGACCCTGGTTGGGTAAATGGACATGTTAGCTTGTGGTTGGTTTGTTTCATTCCACGATAGACTAAAATGAGCCTCAGAATTTGACACTTCCATTCAAATTGTGATTCAGATTCAGCCACGTCTTAACAACATAGCCCTCAAAATGCATCTTCTCCACCCCTGTAAAAGACAAACAAACCACATTAGAGTTGAAGAAAGGCATGTGTGTGTTATTGCGGTCTTACGGTGATAGTACGGTGGACGGAAGGTGTGGTCAGCCACACCCCACCGAGGGGGGAAGATGACAAAGTCAGCAATGGCCACACCTGGTCGCGTGGATTTGGCAGTCAGCACAGTAAAGATAGATGGATCCTATGGGGCCATCATAAGTAACACAATAGACAAATACATTAATTTGTTGTATGTATACTTAAAAGTACTGTAGTATACTGGAGTGCATCCGAGGTCTTAAACACTCACTGCGTGGTCGAAGGCCACACAGTTGATAACCATGAAGTTCTCCAGGTTGTATTTGTATGGTGTGTAGTTCCCGTGCCAAGCCACCACATTGAATGGAGAGAAGTCCTATGTGCAGAACACAGAATGAAACAAATAAGACGAGTCTACCCCAGCAACAAACACAAAAGACTATAAATTGAGCTTTTCACAGGGAAAAAGGAATAATGAATAATGTCTTTGTAATCTTAAATTCCCAGAGAGACTACTTCTTGACATAAAGAGAAAAAAACTGGTCATAATGAAAAGGGTTGATTGTGAAAGAGGGTGTGCTTCTTTCATTCTTTCTTCTCTTTCATTCCCCCTGTTCTTTGTGAAACGAGGCTCCAGGTATTATGGGGTAATTGGCTTCACAATCAAACTTTCCCAAACTTTGAGCATTTTGATGCTCGCAGCGGCGTAGTTATGGGGGGAGGGAGCACCAGTAACAGTGGGTGCAGAGATATTTCTTTATCTTGATTGTTAAAACCACAGCAATTTTATATAGTTTCTCTGTTCTGATAATGTCACTGCGAAAAAGACATTCAACAGCAGCTCTAAAATCAATATAGTTCATTACAACTCAAGCTGCCTCCTCAGTGACCTGTGCGCTCCTTACACACATGCTCACATACACTTCCACACATGAAAAGCTAATACACACTAACAATAAAACATCACAAACACATATGCAAACACAAAAAATTCAAACACATTACATAACTAATAATCACCAAGAAAAAAACCTTAACCGCACACCCAATTCATAGTAGTTACCATACAAAAAGGCCTTTGGGAAACCCAGCACAGGTAATCTCTTGGACATTTGTCTGTGGTAACTCCACTACATTCGATTAAAATGAAGGGAAAAATGGAGGAGAGCGAGCACTTGCACACACATGCACACAAAACACAAACATATTGGCCCAGTCAAGCAAATAATAAGTTAATTTGAGCAATTTCAGCGCTCTGCGGGGGAACAAAACAGCAGGACCAGACGGGAGCAGCAGCATCTTCCCTGAGATGAGGACCGCGTCCCCCACCTTATTTTTCTTAGCCCTGAAGCCTCACCCTCCTGACTCTGGGAAGGGTGGACACCAGGAGAAGAGTGTCAGGTGCAGACAGCAGCCTCCACCTCTGTCACCCAGCACATAACAGGGGGTGGGTACTCACATAGAGGCAGCAAGAGAGATGGAAAAATGTTTGTTTTGCTACAAAAAAGAAAAAAAGACAGTATCTTGCCCTTGTGTACTTCCTTCGATGAATAATAGCAGTGTGGTTTGACATGGTTTCCACGGTTACAACCCCCCAACCCCCGCCCCTGACAAACCTCTCCTCCTACCTCCTCCCTGTCTCGGTAAAAAACCTCCTGTCAGACATTATGTGTCGATCCAATTATGCGCCCAACAGGACATTTCGGGAGGGGCAGGATCATTCCCTGAGTGAAATATGGTGAAATTAATGCTTAACTTGGGGAAGATTTTTCCTACAAAGCAAAGCTTCACAGGTACACTCTCTGTAACTCCGGAATGCCTTAACTAATTATGAGTGATTAAGACTCATAAGGGAGTCGAGGCGGAAACCTGCTGAATGGATAACAGCCAACGCTTCGATATTAAATCATCAGGGATGGCAATTCAATCGACAGGAGCAGCTAATGGATCATATGCTTCACTTGGACAGTTTCCTGTTAGTCATTGTTGCGGTTCAATGGTGTTTACTGAAGCAAACACAAACCTAAATAGGGTAATAGGGCAGGTATGCCATATGTGTGGGCTCCTGTTATATAGTACAGTGTACTGACACACATAAACTGGAATGTCACCAAAAAACACCTGTTGGCAGGCGAAGAGCTTTCCTTGGTACTTGTTAATGATGGTGTAACCTGTGGCCACTTTGCGATCCTCATACCAAGCAACTGGACACAGGAAATCTCTGGGGTTGGCCAGACCATTGGCTCCTGCAAAAGATAACAAGTACAGCTGACGCTAATGGAAATGTTTTGCAGCTATTTGATTATAAACCAACATCCATTTTTACCTAGAGATGGCGCTAAAATAAAAGTTAATGGACCACCAAAGTCATTAGGATTCATCCACTGGGGAGAATGTATGACTGTATAAGATTTCAATCCATCCAGTAGTTGTTGAGATATTTCCTTGCTGCTAACATGGATAAAAATGTGACAAATTTGGGGTGCGAACCAATTATAAACTGACATAAAGAGGTTTATGTGCAGATTTAAAGGAAGGGTGAAGGGTACTACATGTAACCACACTCACAAACATCATGTACACACCTATGGGTCCCAGGTCAGGGAGTTCAAAATGAGCTCCATACACCTCCAGTATATAACCTCTGGTTTCTCCAAACACATCCACACTGAAGCGCATCCCTTGCTGGAGAAAACACATAAGAAGTGATGATGAAGGGAAATGTATTGCTGTTTTGAATCAAATGTGGGATGTACTGAAGTCCAATGTTGTTTATTTTCAAGGTCACTTTTGAAAAGCACCAAACTATGTCTTTCTAAATATGGTAAATGGGGTGTGAGAGCAGACACAATGGTAGATTCCTGCTTGAAAACTGGGGAGATGAAACACATAGACCTCACCTGGATGACACAGATCTCGTTCGGCTCGACCATCATTTTCCCAAACTCTGTGGTGATCAAGATCTCACCCTGCTGGGGGACTAGAGAGACAAACAGACAAAGAGAGGCAGAGAAAAGAACATTTGAGGGATAATAAGGACTGGGGATTGAGCTATCATTGTTCTTGTGATAGATGACAGTGAAAACATCAACATTCCTTTTCCTCACCAATCAGAAAGTCTCCGTCTGAGTTGTTGAAGCACCTGGAACAAGAGGAAATGATTGTCAAAGCGTAACCAAAGATTTTGTAGCCGTTTGATATGTGAAAATGCATCTATTTGTTACATGATGGGACACATTTGCACACAAATACATACACACCTGTCAGCCATGGAGGTGTTGCAGGTGTACATGTGGATGCCAATCCCATTACGAGATTTGGCATCTCCAGCACCACAGACAGTATGCAGACCCTGCAACGTATAAAACCTCCAATCAGTGAACTGAGATTCTTTAATGAAAAAATAATATGGAAAGGAAATGAGTTAAACTCACAGCCGCAA